CGGTGTGATGCACATTACAGAGACCGACGGTGTGATGCCCGGGGCAGGACAACATTTTGCGCCCCTCCCCCTGTGATATGTGGTGGTGTACAGGTACACTGAGAGCATGCTTAGACATGTCGTAATTGAACTACAAGTTCCAACATGCCCTCATTGTCCCTGTATGCCCGCCAAATATGACCCAGGGAATAGTAACGAGCTGATTGGCAGGCTCCTGTCCTCTTTCTATGCAATGGAGCCCGGGTCCCTGTAGATAAGGAGCCTGCCAATCAACTAGGGGAGAGAGTGTGCACGGTGCTATACCTATTGGCTGTTTAAGATCGATCAATTGATAGTGGATTTAGAAAGAGTTTTTGGATTGATCTGTATCTAGGAGGTTGTGGTTTTTTCTTTTTGTAAGTTCCTTTTTATTTTGCGCTAATTAAATGTTTTAAAGATTTTATGCTATGTGCCTTTTATTTTTTCATTTTGGGATATTCTACCTTGGATCCTTTTTGGAGTTGTTTCCCTGATACTGCTAAGTATTGCTAGCGATGCTACAGGTCATTGGTGCCTTTTTCAAAGTGGAGGAATAACGCTGACACCTGATGTCCATGGATGTATTGATGTGGCTGATACACATTGTATGATGAGAGATCGCTGGGATGTATGCAGTGGAGATGCCATGCAAATGAAGGAGTAAAACAAAGAGTTCCTTACATGCTTTCTCATCAGGGGGATCTAGTGAGTATTTAAAGATTTGTTTCATCGGTAGTGGCTTCGTCGGCTAACGAAGGGAGGGGGGAGGAGTGCGGTGACGTCGATGTCCGTGACGTCACTGGATCTCTGATGGGACTCCCGTAAGACCCCGAAGCCGGCGGAGAGGTGAGTTTTCATTTTTGATAAAAAGAATTTTAATCGATCAAAAATTTTAATGATTAATCGAGAAATTAATCGTTAATTTCTGCAGCCCTAATATATATATTCGATAAATAGTCACTCGCACTCCAACTTGATGCAAAGCCAATACCTTCTTTTTATTTAAATTTAATAATTTATTATTATTTATTTATTTAATTATTTTTTTAACAATTTGTTTTCACTTAACTCTATTGCTATCGCACAGGAGCTAACAATCCCATGTGTGATAGCATTTGGAGGTGACAGGTTCTCTTTATTGAACCTGTCACCTCCAATACAGAAGTTCTAGCACAGCACTGTGCTAGAACTTCTGTGACAGGTGAGGGGGGAAGATGGCTCTCCCCTCTCACTGGTTATCATGGGGCAGCAGGGTTAACCCTGCCGCTCTGCTCCCTGCATCCGCGGCCGGTGAGGAGACAGACTTGGCGGCTGGGCAGAAGACGGAGCAGCGAGGAGAGAGGTAAGTGAAGGGGGGGTGGCAGGGGGAGGAGGACAGACGGATTCTTTTCTTCGGCCGCTCTGTAGCGGCAGTGGCCGAGGAGGAGAGAGAACTGACATGGCGATCGCCGCTGCTTTAGCGGGGATCGCCGCTGTAGAAGCAGCAGCAGTTCCCCCCCTGAATTTCCACTCGCCCCCACCCAATTTTCACTCGCCAATTGCGCGGGGGCGAGTTGAAATTTTGAGCCCTGCCCCCAGTTATATATAGGCAATGGACACACCCTGACATATCCCCATTTATATATAAGCATTGGACACACCCCTTGCATGTCCCCAATTATATATAGGCAATGGTCACTCCCCTGCCATACCCCCCAATTATATATAGGCAATGGACACACCCCTTCCATGTCCCCAGTTATATATAGGCAATGGACACACCCCTGCCATGTCCCCATTTATATATAGGTAATGGACACACCCTGACCTATCCCCATTTATATATAGGCAATGGACACACCCCTTCCATGTACCCAATTATATTTAGGAAATGGATACACTCCTGCCATGCCCACAGTTTATTGAATTAAGGTGGAAATTAACTCAAAAAGTAAAGATTTGCTTTGGTTGGTTATGGGAAATATTTAGAAGCCTTAATTGTGCCTAATCAGTACCAAGAAATGACTGTCTTCAATTCCTCCTGAAAAATAGCAGAGCACTACTTGGTGTGTGAGGGTGCACCTACATCTCATAGCTGTATATCTACAGTGTGAGATCAAAGGCACTGCTGCCTCTGATTGCTAGTCTCAGGAGATCTGGAGTGAAATCGCCAATGTCAATGATTACTGTTTCCCTTGCTGGGGGCTCTGACATGAGGAAGCAAAGCCCCGCCACTGCCAACATGGCTGCCTCCATATAGACACAGTGACAGAACAGTGCATGGTTACTCAGTAATAGTGGAAAGATCAGCAGCAGGGAACCATAGGCAATACGGTGATTAGTCCTTTGCCCTCTGCCTGCCTTTGTTGGCACATCTTCCAGAGTTCAGTTCCTCTTCAATGTCTTTTATACATAAATCCTTGCCGGGTTCAGAAGTGTGAATTAACAGAAGTGGAAGAAGTTCAGGTTCAATGAGGACATTATAAACAGGAAAATGACAGGCATTTGTTTACTTAGCAGTGTTGTCATAAGGTTACACTGAACATTGCAAAGGATTGTCCTGTACATATCACACATGTAAGATCCGCCGTTGTACAAATCGTCCCTGATCACGTTTCCTGTATATATAACAAATCTTCTTCCTAAGAAATAAACCAAAATTACTATGGAGGAAATACATGGCTATACAAGAATGGACAGACAAGGTTATGGATGGAGTAAGTCCTTCAGCCAAATCAAACTTCGCTTTGCATCAACTCACAGAAAATCCGACTAGTCTTTGTGTTTAATTCACTTGTGACCTGCTATGCGTTTCGGTGCAGCTGCGTTGCCTGACACTGTAATAATGCATGGGATGCCATTCAAAATGAATGCCGCAGCAACCCTCTACACCACCGTTCACGTATTACTGTGCAACACTTGGAAGGGGGGGCTAAAGGAAAATGGTACTGATGCAGGCAGCCATTGCTGAACTCTAGTTTTAATATTGATTGTCTGGCTGTCAGGTTGATCCAAAGACTTTAACACTTTAAGAACATATTTGCCCTGTGAATATCCATTGAATGTTGGCTCTGTGTGCATCTATGCCACAATGAACATTCTTCAGTAATTTACTTTGCAAGCGCAATTAATTTTTGAATGTTTTCAGGTAATATCACTTCATAGCCACTAGATGGAGCTAAAGGAGCATAGGATATAAGTATGTATATTCTATGCTGCTTATAGCCCATATCTAGTGGCCATAATGCGGTATTACATGGTAAAAAAAAATACAGTACATTGCCTTGTGTAGGCAATCAATTAAATTTTGTTTTGGCATTTATCCGCACTGATAGAATGTTCACTGATATTTGCAGGACAAAGTTAGTTTCTGAATGTGACCTGGTATCAGCCTCCTGCAGTCTCTGCGTTTGAAAGGAAGAAGCTGCACTAGGAGCCAATCAGTTATGCTAAGAAGAAGCATGCTGGTAGGAGGAGGGAGAGCGGAGTGATCAAGAGATTAGCTCACTGTACTGCTTCTCCTTTTACTATCCAGTCATAGGATGGGGGGGGGGGGGGGGG